TCCTCATAAATAATGTGATTTGGGATAATTTTTTTCATTGCTTAAAAAAACCCTTGTTTTTTGAAGTTTCTTTCACTTCTGATGCTGACTCAGTCGCTGCTTTGGTACAAGTAGAAACGTCTGGCTTGACACTACATATTGGATGTATCACTAAGACTTTATCCTTTCTCTTAATTTTATGGATTCTCTTTTCTGAAATACTTTGATTTATACCTATTGTCTAAGGGGACATAATCTCATCCACTGTATAACTGTAGAAGAAGTACAAAGCAAAGTTTGTCCTGTGATCCTGGTTGTGTTCTCAGCATCCTCGGATAAAGAATGTTTGACTGAGCTTTTGAATTTGTTGGAACAGGAACAAGAATTGGTGAGCAAATGGTTGGGTCTTTGTCATTTTAATTACCATGTCTGAGTTTGACAAAGATTACTCCCTGTTCTACTGGTTTCATGCCATTTTTGAAGCATTTCTGTAATTTAAATGAGTTTTCTGAGCGAGACTTGAGCTTACTTCTGCTGACAATAGCATCTGAGAGCTGACGTGACCATTCCCAGACACGTGCTTAATTGTCTTGGGAGTCCGTTATTAAAGAGATTATAGAAGACAGTTTATGTCAAACATCATGTAACTGCGTTACTTCGGAAGAGGATATTGGAAATATTTACAAAGGAAAACATAAGCTTAAGGTAACAGCTTAATTTGTGTAAACCATAGTGAGACCTTCAGAGAACAGTATATGTTGTAGCTGAATTGTAAGTGTTCTTCCATTTGTTCTACACGTGCACCCCTCCTGTCAAATAGTCCATTGCTCTGATCATCGATGGGGCTTGAAGCAACCTCATCTAGTGGAAGGTGTCCCTGCCCGTGGCAGGGGGTTGGGACTGAATGAGCTTTGAGGTCCCTTCAACACAAAAACCTTTCTGTGATAACTGGCAAATTGCCAAATATTCAGGTGTCAATATTTGGAAGTCCTGTCTTGTCACAAGAACTTGGTGAACGAGGGGTCTCAGTTTTGTGGGAGGGTAGGATGCAACACCAGGGCTCTCCCAGCCACCAGCAACTCACCTTTTCTGATGTGAGGGTATGATTGAGTCTGTGTCTGGAGCTGGTCAAGTTTCTGTGTTGTTATTCCTGGACTTCCTGTATGGAAGCCCACAGAAGAATTGAGGATTTCAAGGGAATGCAAGCTTTTTTAAACTTAAACCCTTTGAAACACCATCTGAAGTGCTTCAGTGTCTAACAGTCATTGAAACAGAAGGTTAGACACCTCAGTGTTCTTGAGGGCTTGATTTTCTGTGCCTGTGATTTATTCAAGTTCTCCAAGGTTCTCTTGTTAAAGTCATTTTGCTCTGTGGCCAGTTTTGTAGTATGTTTTAGTCAGTTAGGTTTTACCAGAGCTTGGGAATTGATTGCTTCGAATTGCAAAGCGTGAAGTCAGCTGCTTTCTCAAGGAAATCCTTTGGTTCTTGCACTTGGTTTCTCAGGCTGTAGTAATGCTGTGCTGGGCTTGACCTTTCCTTTTGCAAAAGCTTCTTAGTGTTATCTGGAACTTCAACCTTTGCTTTGTATTGAGCAGTTCCAGTGAGCAGTGTGACTGAGCAGCTCTGCTCGGCAAAGCCCAAATCAAACTGGGTTCATGTAAAATTCTTCATTTCTGCTGCAGCTGCTGAGCTGTTTGACCAGTTACAGCTTTTAGCTCGTCCTGTGTGAGGATCTGTAGTTCCTGGATTCACTCAACAGCCAGTCTTACATTTCCACTCCTCCCATTCACTTCAGTGGGATTTCCAGAAGCAGCAGTTCCTTCTGGTTGTCGATGAGCTCTGGATTGAGTGATTTCCATAGAGAACCATTCTGTGCCTCTCACAAGTACCAAAGCATAAGTCAAACTGTTGGGTTTTTTGTTTATTGGGTTTTAAATTGACACTTGAGTAACTAAAGTATTTAAGTGTTTAAGTAGCATTATTGTACTTGAATGCTGCCCAGTTTTGAATATTTAAGTCGAAGTAACTATTGTATTTCATTCTGAAAGATGATTTCTTGGCTCAGGACTCAAATCTCTAGAGTATATGTTGTTATGACTCTGAAATCTTTGCAGTATAATTTAGCCTGGTACATTGATTGTTATGTTAGAGCACAGTGAAATTAGTATTAGTACTTTTGCCAAGGAAAGTAACATTTAAGAAGATACTTAATATGGTACCTTGATTGGAGGTGAGTGCTGGCATTTGTTAGTGAGCCAAAGTGCACAATTTCATAAGCATCTTGAGGAGTACTTGCAGTCATAGTATGGAAATAACAACCCTGAGTGTGGTACAATTCCAGTGGCTTAATTAAGGCAATACAAAGTGAATTTTCTAAGAATTATGGGGTGACTGGAAACTGCTGATATTGTGTTCTTCAGTCATTGACAGTGTGTAAAGTGTCAATACATTTCTCAAATTCCAGGAATACATTCCCTTGCATAGATTTACAGTATAACATAATGAGGATAATACATCAACTAGGTGCATGCTGGGCTCTTGATAACTGGCGTGTGTCCTGCAGTAGGTCTAAATGCCTCACTGCAACCTGAATACCATGGACCAAGGCCAGGTTGAACACGGCTTGGAGCAACCTGCTCTAGTGGAAAGTGTCCCGGGTGAGCTTCAAGGTCCCTTGCAACACAAACCATACGATGACTCTAAATTGAAAATCTTAAAATGAAGTGTACAGAAATGGGTTTGATGCAGACTCAAACAGTTAAAGTAAAAAAGCTTCTTTAGCATCAGCGAATGTTTTATAGGTCATTGCTGGCTGTTGTGATTTTATTTTGATATAAACAATATGGTCTGTCTTGCAATACAAAAATTATTTCCATCTGTATCTTGCACAGCTATGTTTATAATGAGAACTCCTGACAGTCTGCCACACGTTCATTACAGATAGGACCTGATTACAGGATTGCTGTTCCTGAAGATGAAGAATAAGATTTGGAACCTTTGGCTGTATGAAGGCCTTCTGGGATGTGTGAATGAAGACTTTGGATGGCTTAATGCAGATCAGTTTCTAGTGAATTACAGAAAATCTCCTGTTCCCATATTCATTAGACCTTGGAGTTGTGTAGTATTAAAGGGCAATGATCAGATTGAGTTATACAGTATTCAAATCTTGTAATCTCTGTCATGCCCAGAAGGTCATTTGAAGGTTTGTGCATTCTTAGGCTGCAATCAGGTCATAGTCCTCAATCATTATAATCTTTTTAAAAATAACCATGAGATTTGAAAGCTTAAATTCTTTGGGCATTGCAAATATAATGAGAATCACAAAGTTGTGGAAGTCACTGACCTTGGGTAGGATTGACATGCACAGAGGCTAGAAAGCACATCTATAAATGGGGCTTGGATTAGAATAAGGATTGAATGCCAAAAGGCTGCAATGATCAGCAAGAAGCGTTTGAAAGTGGACTTGCCCTGCATATGTGCCATCGAGCTGGCTGAAATCACTTGGCTGGGTTCACTGGAGACCTGCTTAACGTTATGTCCCATCCCTGCCATCTATTTCCTCCCTCTGCCTTGGGTCCCAAGTGACCTTAGAAGTTTAAGATGTAAGAAAGGTAGACGCAGCAACAGTGTGAGAGAGATGGTCACCAAGATCTGGTCACCCAAGTATTGAATTAAATTAGGGGGTGAGCCATACAGCTGAAGTGTTCCACGTGCTGGGTATTTCTAGGGGAAAATCCTCCTAGGTTCAGTATTTAAAAATAATAATGCTATTTAAAACTGCTCTATAAAATCACTGCCTTTGTCTTAACTTTGACATGTATTGAATTTTGAACGTATTCTGTAAGAGCACTGTCTTGATTTACTAAAGATCCAATTTTGTTCATTTCTAAGGAATGTATTCATGGGATTAAACGCTGTAAATAGATTGTCTGAAATATGTCTTTGGCTGCATTATGACAATACATTTTTAATAATGTTAGAAAATACCTCATGGCAAGACCTACTTTTGCCTTTTTCTGTGTAACCTTGGGCTGATCACCTCTCCCTTAACTGTATTTTCCACGTCTGTCTCAAAGATGTTTGCAGAGCTTCTCAAAGATGAAGTGCTGTATAATTGCTTTTATCAGCATTGTATAATGTATTTGACACAATATATACCAGCTACTTTTTACTTGCCTCATTTCTTCCTTCAAAAGAAGGAGTAGGTTGGGTCTCCCCTTGCAACCATGAATATACATCACATTGAATATTTATTTGCTCATGTGTAAGTCACCTTGAGCACTGTGAAGTGATGAAATACTGCTGATTCTATAGTATTCATTACATTGTACGTTGTCATTTAAACACCAAATTAAGGAAGTGTTTTGATTCCTCTGTCTGTTTACTTGATAGGTTTCCTTGGAAAACTGTGTGGAGGTTGGGCGCATTGCCAACACATACAATCTCACAGAAGTTGATAAATATGTTAATAACTTCATCCTGAAGAACTTCCCTGCGTTATTAAGTACTGGTGAATTTGTGAAACTCCCCTTTGAACGTCTTGCCTTTGTGCTTTCAAGTAATAGCCTTAAGCACTGCACTGAACTCGAGCTCTTCAAGGCGGCGTGTCGCTGGCTGCGGTACGAGGAGCCCCGGATGGAGTATGCTGCGAAGCTGATGAAGAACATCAGGTTTCCACTGATGACTCCCCAGGATCTTATTAACTATGTTCAGACAGTGGACTTCATGAGGACTGACAATACCTGCGTGAACTTGCTTTTGGAAGCCAGCAATTACCAAATGATGCCGTACATGCAGCCGGTGATGCAGTCGGAGAGAACTGCCATTCGGTCGGACAGCACTCACCTGGTGACCTTGGGGGGGGTGCTGAGGCAGCAGCTGGTTGTCAGCAAGGAGCTGCGGATGTATGACGAGAAGGCCCATGAGTGGAAATCCTTGGCTCCCATGGATGCACCAAGGTACCAGCACGGCATTGCCGTGATCGGAAACTTCCTTTACGTGGTTGGGGGGCAGAGCAATTACGACACGAAAGGGAAGACGGCGGTTGACACGGTCTTCAGGTTTGATCCTCGCTACAACAAGTGGATGCAAGTTGCATCTTTAAATGAGAAGCGCACCTTCTTCCACCTAAGTGCCCTCAAAGGACATTTGTATGCAGTTGGTGGTCGAAACGCAGCGGGTGAGCTAGGTGAGTGCTGCTTCTGAAGCGTGGCTTCTGGTGTTGCTGCTTCTGCATGGAAATAACCATGCTGCCCCGAGAAAGGGTGGAGAGGTCACGAGTGGAAGGTGCTGGTGAGCAGCTTCTTTCTGGAAATACTGCAAATGCAGAGAGAAACGTGTCTTGATACTATTGGCAGTTATTTTCAGAAAGGCTTCCACAGCAAAAATTCCAGATACATGTACCTTGTGTATTGATGCATAATATCCAACATCTTCACCTTTAGCATCTTCTGTGTCTGCCTGTGTATGTGTGTATAGCAAATGCATACAAAACCCATCATGACTTCAGCTAAGAAACCAAATCCACTTATTTCAGTCCTGAGCAAATCCTGACTTTCCTGACTGGAACTCACTGTTGGGTGAAGGGTGCGTTTGGAAAGACGCAGCTTTTCTGGAGTAGTCATTTTGGAATGCTGGTAACTGGGTGATTCGTTTCACTCACAGATCCCTGAGATTCAGCTCTCCTGACATTCTGCACTTTTTGATTACTAAAAATATCTTCCCTGTGATCTTGAGATTACGTAGTTGTTGATGTGACTGACTCTGTCCCGCTGTCTCCTTTCCCCCCTTGCAAATGATGATTCGTTTTACTTGACCAAAAATACCCCCAAGACATCGATTTCAGGGAAATAAGATGGTTGGAAACAAAGAATAAATAAATGGTAACTTGTAACATAACAGAAGTCTATAGAGGCTGGCCTGTATTAGTGCACTGCATTTTCCAGAGCCATAGCGGGTAGCATTTGCAGTCAGCTCTGGGAGTGTACACTCAGTTGTAAATTTGTGCTTTAAAATGGAAATGTTACAGTCATCCTGCTTTGGATTTTAGCATAATATTATATCTAAAGCAGACATAACATCTCCTTATTTTGTTTGCTGCTTTCAGCCCAGTACTTCACTGTGTCTTGTCAAGTCTTTGTGACAGCAGCTCTTGCTGCTAAGATGTACTTGTTAGAAACACACAGAGATCTTCAAGTGCAGTGAGAAACGTGTTTAATGGAAATGACACAGAACCTAATTTGTGCTGCAGCATCTGTGACGTTTTTAATTAATCCATCTCAGTCATTCACATGTGCACTTTGTTTCATGATCATACCACAGTCTGTCTTAGGAAACATAGTGCATTGCTTCCACTACACAAGCTGGGCTGGGTTTGCTAGGAGTTGAAAATGTTTGATAAAATGGGATGTTTAAAAATGCCTCCTGTTTCCAAAACCCAAGGGAAACTGTTGCAGCAACTTGTTTTCTCTACACAGTCATGTTCTGATGCAGATCCTGAGGTTTTCTTACATGTCACTTTATCTACCTGAAAACACGTTCTCACTGCAAGCGGGATACCAAATGTACAAACTGATGTGTCTTGGTCTTTATCTTGAGTATCAGGAATCCTGCCCTTCACTGAGCTCTTTCCTGATGGTATGAATTGATAGCAGATAACCAGACTGCTGCCCTCGTGTGCTGTACCATCGAATCAGAGCAGAGTTATTCGAATGTCTGTGAAAAAGTTCCAAGCCTAACCAAATCAATATGAAATAACAGTGTCCCTGAGGCAGTGCTGTGTGTGCAGCAGGCTCTAAGTGCAGTGCTCTTAAATTAGATGAAGCAGTGTCATTCTGCTGACCTCAGCTCTTCTGCAGCTTTAATTAACATACAAAATCTATCACCTGTCTAAAACTCTGCTGTAAAGATACCATTAAAATGCTGCAGTGCTTTCCACAGCCCTGAGAAACGTCAGTGGATCATTCTGTGGGAAGAGCACTCTATAAATGGTACATGTTGTAGCTGTCTGATGCTTTGATTTGGGGCTGCTTCTGTTTTCCTGTTAATTGTGAAGCACGTCACTTTGCATTTTCATGTTTCTTTCATAAACCTTGACAGCTGAAGGATGAAATCCAGCTTCAACTTCCCATTCTCTTCAGGTGAGAACAACTCAAGCTTTGTAGAGAAAAGAAGGTCAAATATGTGTTGGACAGGTATTAAAGAAGTTGCCCTTGGGTTCAAACTAATTTCAATCTCTTGTTAGAGGAGAAAAAATTCCCCAAATCTGAATTCAGCTTTCTGGAAGATCAGCTCTTATGGAAAAGGGACAAAGTTACTAAAATGAATTTCTTTGGGGTTTTTTTTTTCCTTCTCCTGACATTTTTAGAGAGACTCTCTCTAAAGCCTTCCCAAAAGAGTGTTCGTATCTTTAAACTTCTGAGAACTTTGTAAATACCCCTTTCCTCCTCAGTAGGATGTGCTTTGGTGGCAGTAACGGCTGCTGTTTGAACAGCACATGCCACTGGGGAGCTTTGGGCTCCTTGGTGAAGAGGAGTGAATGTGCACACGTGTGGTGCATGGATCTTGGAGATGAACTGAGTTGTGCTGGGGCTTGGAGCAACCTGGTTTAGTGGAAGGTGTCCCTGCCTGGGGCAGGGGGTTGGAACTAGATTGTCCCCTATTTTGAAGTGTCTCCTTGCTATGCTAGGAACAGAATTGCTCAGGAATCTCTTTAATTTAACCAAGTCAGCTTTGAGTTCTACAGAAGCAAGCTGTATCATAGAAAGAACAGACCAAAATGAAGACCGTGGGTTTGGGATATCACACATAGTTGCTAAGTGCTGCCGTAAGAAACCTCAAGACACATTAGAAACTACCGACAGAGAAGTGCTAAATATCTTTGTTCTCCTCGAATAGCATCACAGCTGGTACTATAAAATGAGTGCAGGCTGAGCATCCCTTGGGACTGCTAAAGCTGTGTGTCTTTTTGAGGTTGCTTTATTCTACTAAGATGAGGCCTGTCCTCCCTGGGTTATGGTAATGAACAGATCAGATGTTCCGCTGTCAAACATAAGGTAAAGCTGATTTGAGTCATTCATGCTTGTGGGGAGGATGAATCCAGCAGTCTCATGCCGTACAGGATATACACTTAGGTTCAGTCAAGTGGCAGTTCCTTTGTGCCTGTGAGCTGTGCTCTGTCTGCAGATGATGTATAGACCTTCCTTATGCCTCTCTTCAATTGATGGGCACCTTTAATGGCTGGAATTTTAAATGTTTGTTTCCTTTTCAGTGCAGAGGGAGATCTTGTTAAAACAGCAGTGGAATGACCTTGCAACTCCACGGAACCCGAGAGAACAGGAGGCTTTTATCAGCTTGAGTGACCAGCGTTGTGTTGTGGGGTAGATTTGAGATTGGAGTTGGGGTGGTTTGTCTGAAATACTGTCAAACAGTATCGTGTCAAACCCTATTTTGTCAGACTGTGCTTCAGGTGTACCGGCAGTGTTCAAGAGAGTTTTGAAGCCATATCAAAGTGAGGGATCTTGGACTCAATGTCATCCTGTCTCAGACAACTAAAATCTTTATGACGTGGTGATAGTGATGGCAGCAGTGTGTACCAATGTCTGCATGTGCTAATCTTCTCTTGCTAAAGTGATCTGTGGCTGGGGTTTCTCTCTTAAATGCAATCTGTAGTGCAGAGTGGTTGTCCAGTATTAAGGTCCTGTTGATCTGGTTGTGGCTCGCTTTGCCACTGCTTTGCATATACTCTGCTTTTCCTGTACTCACAGTGTATTGGACACGGAAGCTCCTCACTTCAGCACCGAGTGGAAGCACTGTGGGCGAGAGGATGCCTTTGTTTTGGTGCAGGCAAGCAGAATGATGATTTTGGTGCAGCAGGTTGGCAGGGTGTGCTCCCAGGGGAGAGCTGGGGCACCTATAATTACTTGCACATCAAATCTGTTTTTCTCTGTCCTTGAAATTTCTGCCCTTCTTTGTTTTCTTCTGCTTGCTAAATAGAGCAGGGTAGAATAGAGCTTTCTTGCCTTTCCAGAAAATAATGTGGGAATGAGTAATTTGTACAAGAAAAAGGTTAATTTTGGGCAGATTCTGCATGTGGTGTCAGGATGGCAGCACACAGAAATGCAACTCATGGGTTTAATTTTAGGTGTCATTTATGGAATGAAGTCTTTGTGCCTATACCTTTGTTTGGGTAAGAGGTTGTCCCCAGCATTCGCTGGCTTTGTGGCTGTGCAAGTCCTTGGTGGACATAGAAAGTCTGCAGGTTATCCAGTGGGAAACCACTGCAATATTCCAAGTCAAGCCTGACTTTAAAAATCTTTGTTCTAGAGGAATGCTTGAATGCCTTTTCATACCTTTCCTTGTGCAGACTTGCATCTCCCTGTAGGTGTGTGTAATGTAAAGGACAGCTCCAGGCTCATTGCGAATGGCTGAGGTGGGAAATGCGGTGACGAGGCTGGATTCTAGGAGAAGTGTTTGGTGAAGGACTGATCTCAAGTAAATGTGAGAACTTGCCCCTGTTGGGCAGGTTTTTCCGATCACAAATCAGGCCTGTTGACAGCATGTGGACACCCTGGGCTCCAGTTCATCTGTACCAGGGCTTTGTGATCTGTCCATCTTCTGAAGCCCTGTGGTGCCAGGCATGGACAGGGTCCATGGGCTAACACTTACACGAAACCAGGCATGTCTCAGGCTTCCATGCCCCATCCCTGGCAGTGTTCAATGCCAGGTTGGACATAGGGGCTTGGAGCAACCTGCTCTAGTGGAAGGTGTCCCTGCCTGTGGCAGGGGTTGGAGCTGGAGGAGCTTTAAGGTCCCTTCAAGCCAAACCAGGCTGGGATTCTGTGATTCAGTACTATTTTTAAAAAGTTTCAAGAATGTGAAGTTACTGTTTCCTACCTGCTAATCAATGCATGTCATTTGTTTTGAAAGAATTTTGTGTCTTTTGCCTTATGTCATGAACTTAGTGGTCTGGACCAGAACTTCTCTGTGTTTCTTTCATTTAAATTCCAGCTCCTGAGTGAGTAAAAGCTAAATGCAGTCCAGTGTGCTCTAAGAATTTAGCTGTTCTTCTGTTCAATGTAAGTTATTTTTTAATCTATTTTTAATGTTTGATGCTGATCTGTCATCAAACAGTATTCTGAAAGATAGCTTTGGCATTAGAGTGAGGTACCTTATAGTCACTGTATGAGTGTTACTGATTGATGGACTTCACTGGCCTGGCCAGCACTCCTCGTTCTGCAGGCTGAGACTAACTAGGCTCTGCCTTTCAAATGGCAAGTTTCTCAGCTTCCTATTCTTTTTTTGTCTCTGTTGATGTGTGATCATGGACTGTAAATCACCATCACTGAATCTGTAGAGCTGGCTCAGATTTTCTGCCCTTGGTTGAATAAAAAGCTTGTTCTAGAGCAGGTAAAATGCCTCTTTCAAAGAGGGATTCAGTTTTGTCTGTGTAGCTCATAAACATCTCTCTTTGAAGATCAAGTGTTATATAACAGGCATTAGAAACTGATTCTTAATTATTTAAAATGAGACTTAATTTGTCTTTAAAATAACACAATTATTGGTAATTGGTTTCTGCATCTAAGGGTTTTCAGGGTCTCTCACCTCTCTGGTCATACTATACTTTTCAAGGTGTTGATCTCTACAGCTTACTGTGATCCATTGTTAAACCCGGTCACTCTGTGCTTGTTGCATAGCCCTTTTCCTGCCGCTCTGCACCTCTTCCATCCCACTTTGAAGAGAGGATTCCTTCTCAGAAATGCTTTCTTCAAGGCCTGATTTGAGAACTCCTTTAATCGTTCTAACATTCCGGTTCACAAAGGGAGCTGTGTATAGACACAGGCACTACTGCTCTCCATGGCACATTCCAGGATGTGTCATTTTGTATTTTGTTAAAGCCTGGCTTTTATGAAGTGCTTGAATTGGTGACTTGTGTATGTTGAGCTGTGTGTTGCTGTGGGAGTGCAGGACAATAGAGAATTGGTACGTGGTGGCTGCCCCCTTTGAGGGCATTTTGGTGTGAGATACCAAGGAGGAAACCTGGCCTGGGTGGGATGTTGCTGAGGACCTGGGTTTGTTCTGGTTACCAGATGAATTGATCCTCTTGGCAATAGTTTTGACGTTTGTTCCCTTTCTCTGCATCAGATGCTGCTTGTACTTGAGGGAAGGGTTCAAAAGCTGAACTCCCCTGGCTCCGCTGCCGTTCCCGCTGCTGTCCCACAGGGCAGGTCCTGTGCCAAGTGGGAATGGGAATGAGACAAGTGGAAGGCAAGGATGCAAGAGGGTTTTGTCTTCCTTTTTGCTCCTCTGGGATGAAGCTGGAGCTTTCCCTATATCATGTCTTGACATTATGCTCAATAATTCCCTTGGCGCTGAACAGTGCTTCTCATTGATGCTTCCTGTGTCTATGAATATATTCGTGCCACTGCACTGGAATCCCAACTGCCAGGCTAGCTTCACCAGCAGTATCTTCTCATCTGTTTTAAACAGCCACTGTGGAATGTTACAATCCCAGAATGAATGAATGGAGCTACGTCGCGAAGATGAACGAACCCCACTACGGACATGCTGGAACCGTGTACGGGGGATTGATGTATATTTCAGGTAAATAATTCCTGTGATCACATTATCTCTCTGGAACAAGTACTTACCTGACTCCTCCTATTTCAGTGGGAGACAGTGAAAATTAGGCTCTGGTTGCAGTCGGTTTGCTGTGGTATAAGCAGTGCTGCAATTTCGTATGAAGCCAGTCAACCAGCAGATAGACTGCAGAGCCAGAGGAAGTTATTTTAGATAATATTATGCATTTACATAGTAAATGACAGCTCTGGATTCCAAAGCACTTATTCCCTTTAACTGTCAGAATACATTTCTCTGTGACAACACTACACATGGACATTCATGTAGTGATAACCATTGAACACATCCGCTTTGACACATTTTGGGAAGCATTGGAAATACTAATACTTTAAAGAAGAAAATCTGCTCTCATTGAGCTAATGGAAAAGGATGAGTTCTCATGTTAATCTCAGTATATGAGTGATGTCTGTACTTGCACTGGTCTTGCGTTTGTAATATGCTCAGTCCCAGTGTCACTGAGGTTAGAGTTTCCTTCCAGTCTTTCCTTAACTGGAGCAATAGGTGTTCCGAGAACCTGGTGTCTGCTCAATTTTGAAAGAAGGTGCAACCTGTCTGTCAGTGTTCTCTGCAGAGGTCCAGAACTGTGAATGTTCATCCCATCTTAAGGGATGTCCTCTAAGAACTGAGCTTATTAGGTGCTAAAACACGTGTTTTATTTCTCCAGGGGGAATTACCCACGACACTTTCCAAAAGGAACTTATGTGTTTTGACCCTGACACAGACAAATGGACTCAGAAGGCGCCGATGACCACAGTCAGAGGTCTGCACTGCATGTGTACTGTAGGAGACAAGCTGTACGTTATTGGTGGGAATCACTTTCGAGGCACCAGTGATTATGATGATGTTCTAAGCTGTGAATATTACTCACCAACTCTAGACCAGTGGACTCCAATTGCTGCCATGTTGCGTGGGCAAAGCGATGTTGGGGTTGCTGTCTTTGAAAATAAAATCTATGTTGTTGGAGGCTATTCTTGGAATAATCGGTGTATGGTGGAAATAGTTCAGAAATATGATCCAGAAAAAGATGAGTGGCACAAAGTGTTTGACCTCCCGGAATCACTCGGGGGCATCCGAGCCTGCACTCTCACCGTTTTCCCCCCGGAGGACAATACAGGGTCACCATCCAGAGAGTCTCCTCTTTCAGCACCGTAGAACACCCCTTGACTTACGATGTTGTAGTAACACCTCTGCACTGCATCATGGAGTCTGTTCCTTCTCTTCAGTAGTTTCTGTTAGGCTTAGCCTACAGCGTTTCGTACGATTACTGGAAAACAAAAAGACTTTGACATTATTTGTGCTGTTTGTTTGGCCTAGAATGTTTGTCAAGTGGTTCCAAACCCCCATGTACTCACCCGAGCCAAATGTTTAACAAATGAGAAGGTATTGTCTATAAAATGTATGAACTAGGTACGTTGTTAATGTTGTGTATTGGGTGTGAGGTACCTTCTAGCTGACATTTGGAAGCCCAACGAGTGAAATTTGTACTGACCGTGTTCTTTCACCAAATTTCAGAGTTGAAATCCTTTTTCCTTCCCGTTTTGACCGCAGGTGACATGGGGAGGTAGACCCACATCAATGTGAACTATGACAGGGGGTTGCCAAGGGGACTGAGCTACCTCCCTCTCTTCACGGAGTCATCTTGACATATCTGTTTGCCCACAGGAGCTGTGGGTGCTTTCAGCGTATGAAGTTTCTTAGGCAGAGGGGAGAAATAAAGTGATTTTAACCTATCAGCACTACACAGGAGGCAGACCTTGCAGAGGCCGGGAGGTTTTTATAGCATATATCGAGTGTTTTTCCTGAGTTGGTTGAATGATGCTTCAAACAAAAGATTTAAAACGTTTGGGGTTTTTAATTTGGATTTTTCTTCAGGACTTGGCTTCCTCTTGCACGGGAGCACACTATTAACTAATGGGAATTCAGTGCAGTTGTATATTCTGCTGTATGCCTGTACTGAATATAGGTAGATAAGGGCTAGAAACATTAACTTAAGCCACTGAATTTGACCAAATCGTTCCATCCAATTGAATTGAATCTACCTTTTCTCCTTTGCTGTCGAGGTAACTTGCATAACGTGTCCTCTGTATAGTCTCCGTTAATAAGGTTATTTAGCACAAGGTGCAAAAAAGGAGCTGCTTTTGCTCAGTGGACTTGGACTACCACGTTTTACCTTCTTTTGTTCAATAAAACTTTTAACTGCAGCTGTTTGGTCTGAGCCACATCATTAATGCACTGGGTTTGATTCCTCTGCCTCTATGTCACCAGGATGTGCATCGTATGTCTGGGTGGGGAGGTTGGTTTGCTGGTAAACCGCTGCAGAAGTGATCACAGGGATAGTCCTGGAAAACAGCCAGGCAATGTGAATCGTCACCTTAAGAATGCTTTTCTGATGCTGTGCAAAGCCCCAGATGGGAAGATGTTGCTCTGTCGTTTCGCAATGTCTCAGTCATTTAAGTATCATGTGCTACTAATGCTTTTTTTCCATCTCAGAGGTAAGATTTTGGAGCCTGTTTGAGTGTAAATCCCCTGAAATCCATATTCCATTCCTGGTGTATTAATTAAACCTAAAAGTAGTTGAAGTAGTTGCACCTCCTGTTGGATAATGTTAATATAACCTGCTGTTTGTATGCTGGGGAAGAGGAGCTCCCCTGTTCCCTATGGAATAGTGGGTGCTTCATTGGTGTTCTCCATTCAGAAGCAGCTTGGGGTGGGTTCTAACCATTATGAGATGGTTAGAAGTCAGGATGTTGCCCAAGGAAGTTACGAATGCCCCATCCCTGGCAGTGTTCAAGGTTGGATGGGGCTTGGAGCAACCTGCTCTAGTGGAAGGTTGGAACTGGATGAGTTTTAAGGTCCCTTCCAACGCGGTTCTATGTCAGAGTTCTGTGTCTGAGCCTTGGAGGTGGCATATGGCCACAATGCAGATTTCTGTTAGTGGTTCATTATCTGTTATACTTAAAGTGGAAGAATGATTTTGGAATGTCTTTTTGTCGTTAGTGTTGGACACAGCAGAGTGGATTAAATATAGTGCTTCAATCAAATTAATCTTTGAGGTGTTGTCTTAAATCTTCCCCTGCATTGAAGTGTTCATAGTGTTGTTAGTTAACACCTCCCCACCAGGACTGAAAAGCAAACATCAGAGGTTGGCCAAAACCTGCAAACTGTTTTCTGCTGTGATGCAGGGTAAAGTGGCTTGATGCTCGTTAACATCTTTCTTACCACAGCCTAAGAAACCATTTCCATCTCTGCATCCACAGCCATAGATGTGCTATAGCAGATATTCCATCCCCATTTTCAGGCTGCTCTCTGAAGAGTAAACCCATCGTGGTACCTGGAGCCAGCAGTGTCAGGATGAAAAGCAGCCACCTCTTTTTCCATAGATCCTGAATTCTTCCATTTTGCAGTGATGGCACCTAGATGAGAAAAGCATCTGGATAAAAAGCAGCAGTTGCCAAAAGTGCTTGTTTCCATAAACCACCCATTCAAAGGGCAGGCCAGTATCCGTGCAAAGAAACCAGCACTGAGTGACTCGAGACACCTGGGACAACATTTCCCCTTCGCTGTGTTTTGAAATAGGACAAGAATGACAGGGAAGACAACCTGGGAAAACCCAGGTGACGTGAAGTTCCTTGTTCCTATTGAAGAGCTGATCAGCTGCAGATGTCTGGTGTTCCGTGGTTCCCCTTCCCTTAGAAAGCTGTGTAGAACCATAGAATCCCAGACTGGTTTGGGCTGGAAGGGACCTTAAAGCTTATCCAGCTCCAACCCCTGCCACTGGCAGGGACACCTTCCCCTGGAGCAGGTTGCTCCAAGCCCTGTCCAGCTGGTAGCTTTTGCATACGATGATTTGAGGTTTTTCCTGTTATATTCTCACCAGAAAATATCATTGCTCTGACTATTTTTACTCCTCAGAAAAGCACAAAGCCACCGTTTAGTTTCTTTGATGTATTTTCCGTGTCTATTAGTCTGTGCTGTTGTATTAGATAAGACTGACCACGATTTGCTAATGAGAGTTACTGTATTCCCAGAGAAAAGCCAAGACTATTTTTAGCAAGGGGATAGACTAACGAGGTCACCAGGAGGCTACGTGGTTGCATTAAATATTGCTGTTTAATGTAAAGGTATTTTGCAAAGGATTAGCCATTGTAAATCCAGTCCTCTTCCCAAGCAGGGCGAGTATCACTTTGAAATGATATTTAATGGACCACTCTAGACTTTCATGTCATTCACTGTGTCTGGCCACACTACTAGTGGCTTATGTCAGGGAAACCTGCTGTGACCTTAGGGTACACAAATCCCTCCAGAGTCCTTCTCTGTTCTCTCTCAGGACAGTGTTGTTCAGGAATAAAGGCTTGGCATAAAGGAAAATGAGCTTTAGCTGTACCAGTGGAGGGAGGGAAATAGAACAGAAAGCGTGTTTCTATGTGTAGAAAAGCCCTTGAGGCCGATGGTCCTGGGATACCTGGATGAGTCTGATGGCCTGGGTCCCCTGGACCTCTGGAGCCATCCGACCTTAGGGAAGGTCTGAAGTTGCCATTGTAGAAAGGAACCTGCTTTGAGGCCGAGACATCTCTCTGAAAGACCAGGAATGAGGATTCAAGTACTTGCTTTAAAATAATTACACCCAGAGCTTTAGCACTAACTGCAAAATGGGTTAATTCCCAACTGGAGTCGCCTCTCTCTAAGTGTCTGATGGCGTGAGAGCTGACATACAGGGCTGTGCCCGACTGCGCTAAATGAACTCCTGATGGGTTTTCTTCTCCAGCAGGATTAAAGCTGCCTTCCCCAAATTAAAGCTGCCTTTTTCATTCAGGGAGCGCAGGAGCAGAGCTCGCTGGCTTGGTGAGCAGACTGATCACATCTCACCCTCCTGCATCGGGGTGATCCCTGAGGGCTGCTTCCAGATGTGGAGCAATGACAAGTGCCACCCACCTGCAGCAAAAGGACCACTGGAGCCCTGGAGCACGTTACCCAGAGGGTGAGCTCAGGATCACAGCTGGAGCCTGGGGAGGAAAAGCTTCACCCTCTGAGGCCCCTGTCCTGGGGGAAGATGCTGCAATGAAAGCTGGTGCACATGGCGGGGGGGGGGGGTCCAA